ACACATTTTAATACACTAATAATACAATGTGTCAATTTCTTATCAAACAAATATAATATAATTTAAAACAATTATACTACATATATATTGCATACAGAATTTACTTTTAATACATACTATTGATTTATTATAGTATTGATATATATTGTTATATATGATACTAAACAAATAAAATATCGCTAAAATGAATAATTATTTATTAAAAGGTACATATTCAAAGTATTTTTTGCGCTATACCCAATAGCACTTCATGAAGCAACGACCCAACATATTTATGAAACATAGTCATCCTTTGGAAAAAAATTGCAACAACAATTTAGGAGGACTATGATGCATGTATAGCACAAACTAGAAGGATGATAATATGGTGTTCAACAAACTTCAAAAAAATGTTGTGTGTTGAGACAGTTATATATATACATTTTTTAACAACTTAAACTTTTAAATCAAATAGTCAGAGATTTGAATATTACCAATGCCCAATGGTTGAACGCGCGTTGAAAAGCATCCTTTATCTCCAACATGCTCAATGAACTTATTACATACTCTTTAGAGAATGCATAAGTTAATGTTATTGGTATACTTCTAGACCATCTTGGTCTGCCTGTGAAAAATGCATAGTTTCTCTTTGCATGCATGAATAATTGAGGCGTAGAATCGGATACGCCACATCTAGGTGAAATAATCTGAGAAACTGTATTTTCATCAAGTTTTCCAGTGACTAAAAGGCCCAACTTTTCTTGATATTTAATCAAGGCATGTTCTAAGTGATCATCAAATAAATCTGTGAAGTTCAAGTTATTATAATCCATCTTCATATATCCGAATCGATGAAAATATTTCTTGAGCTCAGAAATTCCATTGATTTTCTTGCCTTTTGTAGCATCCACAAAAATTTTAAACTTATGCCATGTGTAAGTTTGAATTTTATGATGATGGTTTGTGTGATTAATAGTTTTGGAGTGAAAAAATGTTGTTGTTCTAATAGAAAGGCATGGAGAGAAGAAGAGAAAAGAAGCAAGGAAGAAATTAAAGAAGATAGACATATTAATGAATTGTGAGGATTTGAGATATGGGAGAAGAAGCTTTGTTATAAAGGAAAGGTCAAATTTGTTATATTTATGTAATTACTTGCTATTCCTTCTTTTGTATCTGATTTTGATTTGATATGGAGATCGAAAAATAAAGATTTCTGAATCTTGTGATTTTAAATTAAAAATATGTAAAATATATCAAAACGTCATTTAATTTTGTTATAAACATATTTATAGAAAAAGTTGGAATAATATAAAATGAATTACATAATTGAACAAACAAATTAAAACCAGACACATTATACTTTTGTGTTTGTTAGTCTCTTTTTTCTTTTCTTAAGGTTTGATTTTGACTGTTAAAGGAAAAGGGGAATATGGTTGGTGAATCACTATCTTGCTTTTGGTTTTGTTATGCATTTAATTTTTTTATTTTTTATAGTATTAAAGTACTTAATATACACATTTGAACAGGTTAGTTGACATTTGTTTTAGATTAACAATTAATTTTATGTTATCGTCTCCATTTAAGGAGTTTTCTGAATGGACAGAGTAACACTAATTACGCTAGACTATACATTCATGTGGCTATCAGTCAGTGGTCCAATTAAAATAAACAAAATTCATTGGGTCAAAATATTAAAATTTGAAACGATGAAGGGTTTGTTTGATAGGAAGTTATTTACTTTCTAATATTTAATGGTAAAAAAATAATATCTTAAAACCACTTTTACACAAGAGATAAGGCACAAGTATGTTCTAGATTATGATTGAAATTTTATAGACACGTTTAATTAAATTAAGGTCCTATTACGTTCTTCGAACTCATTTTTTTTGTAATTTTCTACATAGCACATTCCGTATCTTCAGGTAGTTGAGGCCGTGAGAAATGACATGTACGCCAAAATGATGTATAAAATTACAAAAAAAAATAAATTAATTTGAGGATAATAGGATCTTAGTTTAGTTTAGATATATTTCTGAAACTTTTATCATAATTTAAAGGGATAATGCCAGAGTACCCCCTCAACCTATGCCCGAAATCTCAGAGACACACTTATACTATACTAAGGTCCTATTACCCCCCTGAACTTATTTTATTAATAATTTTTTACTCCTTTTTAGCTTACGTGGCACTATCTTGTGGGCCCAATGATGGTTGACTTTTTTTTTCGAACTAGTGCCACGTAGGCTAAAAAGGGGTAGAAAATTACATATAAAATAAGTTCAGGGGGGTAATAGGACCTTAGTATAGTATAAGTGTGTCTCTGGAATTTCGGGCATAGGTTGAGGGGGTACTTGGATATTTTCCCTAATTTAAAGGGTATTCATGTCTTATCCCTTTATATAAATGTTATGAGGTGAGATGGGGATAAAGATGGAGTTGAGGAGTTGGGGTATGTGGATGGACGGCGGTGATGGTGGGATGGTCGAGGGTGGGGATTGGAGGCATCAAGTGGATAAGGAAAAGACACTAAACTTGAATGTCATTTATAAAACGGAAAATGGTCTAAAATATTCTTGAAGTATTGAATGGTACAAAACTATCCTTCATTCACTTATTGGCTCTAAAATATCCTTGTTATCCACTTTTGGGTTCAAAATTGACCACTTATTTAATTGTTTAATATTTAAACTATTTAAATATTTTTTAAAAATATTTGGCGCTCCTATTGGATATAATTTATTTTTTTAGTATCATTTATAAATCAACTCACTATCCACCCATCACTAATTAAACCCCACCCAATTAATAAATCAACTCTAATATCAAAATCGCCCTAATCACTACAAAAACACGACAAAATTACAAATTCCTGAAAATAACATTCAGAATTATTTGAGTCTGAATTGAAACCCCAATTAAATTTAGGTTGAGTTGCTTATTTAGGAAGACACTTTCAATAGAATTCTCTTTCAAGCTTGAATTCAAATTTTATGATTAAAGGTAAAGAAGCAGTAGATACCAAATTAATTCATGCACATTTTTTAAAATATAATTATATAAATATTTTTTAAGTTTTAAATATTAAAACTTTAATATATTCTCTTTTTAAAAAGTTATCTATTAAGTAACATCACATAATTGAAATGAATGAATAATTAAGATGAACATAGTCAGACTTTTAAGTTTATCGGTAATTTTTAATGGCGAAATGGTATGGTGGACCCTTATACTTGTATCAGTTTGTATTTTGAACCCTTCTATTTATTCTTTTATCATCTAGACCCTTAAACTCAATCAAAATGAGACTTTTGAGTCCATCCAACAATGTGTGTAGCCCACTCTCCTTTATATAACCGACATGTAATATCCACGTCAGATATATTAATGTCACGTCATAATTATTTAATAACTATTTTTAAGATTATTAACCAAAATTATTTTAGAAAATGTAAAATAATAACATTTTAATTTATTATTGGCATTTCTATTTCTCCTTATTTTCACTATTTCACAACCAAAAGAAAGTCAACGCCGCCGGGTCATCGTCATTTTTGCTGGCGAAATCACATATACTTTTCCCCTAACCCGTCTTCATCTCAGATGCACACCATCACTTTCTTTCCTCCTCCAACCTCCACAGTAACAACATGCAGATGGATATTGGTGGCATTACTCCGATGATCTCCACTCCGATCATTTCTAGAATATTGTCATCATCCATTTTTTGATCGCCGACTGCTGGTGGGATTTAGGAGTGTTGAAGTTTTTCAAGGTTTGTTTGGAAAATGTTTGGAGAATCTCAACAGAAATAGAAATTTGGCGTAACTAGCCACCACAATTAGATCTGGTCACGCACGACCAGATCTGGCCAAAAACATTTTCGTAATTCAACGCCGACTACTATTTTCACACTCTAAATTGCCTATATATACAACTTCACACCAATATATGTCATGAAACTCATCGAAATTCACTCAAATTTTGCCTGAATTTTCTTGATTTATCAAAAAGATTGAAAAAGAAATGTTTAAGGGATTAGAAGGAGACTTGGAGGAGATTTCTTGAGTTATCGAAGAAGATCCAAAAATTGCAAGCGAAAAAAATTAGAAGAAGACAAGTTAAAGGGATTAGAAGAAGATTTTCTTGAGATAAAAATTCATCCAGAAATTGTTGTGAAAGATTGAAAATATGGAAGAAAAGAAAGTTAAAGTTGCCAGGAAAGCAATTAGCTTTGGGGAAGAAAAAATATATTTTTAACTATTTGTTTTTAAATTAAAAAAAATCTTTTCTAATTGTATTTCTTTAACGTAAAAAAATTGTTCACTCGCTTAAAATGCGTAATGTCACGCACTTTTGTCAATTCAACCATTTTAAAGATACATAAGCTTGGTCAATGGTCAAAGGATTTAGTAAATTATGTTTTATTGAGTTTGAAGGTCCACATGACCAAAGTGTAAGTATGAGGGTTCAGAATAAAAATTGATACAAGTATAAGGATCTACCACACTATTTTGTCATTTTTAATTAGACACTTGAATTATAATATGTTTTGATTGAGGAGTTGAATATATGATAATCTACTTCTATAGACATTTTCGCCTCAAACTTTTAAAACACTTATTGGCAATAGCTTTTATGTTGTTCCATTAGTAATAGGGCGGATTTATTAATTGGGTGTGACTTAATTAATAATGGATGGTAATAGATTGATTTATAAATTATATTAATAAGTTAAATTATAACAAATAGTTAACGTCATGTATTAAAAAATATTTAAATAGTTTAAATTTAAAATCATTAAATATGTGGTTAATTTTGAATTCAAAAGTAGATGACAAAGATATTTTGGAGTCAATAGCTGGATGAGAATGATATTTTGGAGGCAATAGGTGGATGAGTGGTAGTTTTATACCATTTTTGATACTTTAAGGATATTTTAGGCCGTTTTTTCGGTTTATAAAATTAATATATATTTCCTAATTCTAGTTAAAAAGTTATTTTTTACATTCCAAGTGAATTTATTTTACAAAACATTTTGAATTTTTACGAAATCGCTGGTATAAAAGACATCCAAAGTATTACGATTATTATCTCACTCACCCATAAGAAGGATCTTCTATATATGTTTCTTTTTCCTTAAGTTATGTGGCCTACTATCATGTTGGTTGTTTCTGAAGATGAAGAATTTAAGGTGTGGACTATATCAGAAGCAAGAGGGCTTGTTAAAGGTATGGCCACAACACAAGTACATATAGATATTATCTCTATTTCAATTTATATGCCTTATTTTTGTTTTAAATAAATGACATATTTTTATATTAAGATATAATTTAACTTTAAAATATTTATTTTAATCATAATGAAATGATTTATAGCCACACAAATTTGTATTATTTATTCTAAATCACAAATTTTAAAAATTTTCTTTTCTTTCTTCAAATCTATATCGAGTTAAACTAATTCACGTAATATGGAACGAATAGAATATTGTTTAAAAGGGGTTTGTTTGATTTTGAAGTAAAATAAAAGTAGCACTACTAGAAGGTGGTTATGATTATGATTGCTAGAAAAAATCAGAAAAAGGAGAGGTCGTTTGAGACGTGTAAGAAACTCAAAAAGAAAATGTCCTTTTCTAAAATTATACTTTTTGCCTAGTTAGGTAGTGGTTACGACTCAAAAGTGTTATTTATGGGGAAAATAAAGTAAAGTTAGAAGACTCAACCATTTTGGAGTTCTATGTTGGGAGATAATGCAGAATTCAAAATTACAACTTGTGCTCATTGTCTCATTTTAAAATAGTATTAGGGACTAGATAAGTTTAAGTGTATCGCTCATATTTTGATAATAGGTTAGGGGTTATGTAATCTCTATACTTTTTTGTTTTAACGTATGTAGCTTAATTTTTTAATCTTTTCGATATTTAAAAATTAAGTTATATTGTTTTGTAAATAGCAATAAATTAATAATTTAAAATATTTAAATTTTAAAGGAATAATGCACAAATATCCCTTAATTTATGTCCAAAATTTCAGAGACACACTTATACTATACTAAGATTCTATTAACCCCTTGAACATATTTTATTAATAATTTTCTATCCCTTTTTTACTTACGTGGCATTATCTTGTGGGCCCAACGCTGGTTGACTTTTTTTTCAAACTAGTGTCACATAGGCCGAAAAGGGGTAGAAAATTATTTATAAAATAAGTTCAGAGGGTAATAGGACATTAGTATAGTATAAGTGTGTCTCTGGAATTTTGGGCATAAGTTGAGGGGGTACTTGTGCATTTTCTCAATTTTAAAAGACATAAAAAATTGATTAACTTTCGAGATAATATCTATTCGACATAAATTGAGATAAAAGAAAAAACATAAATCATTTGAAAATAATGTAAAAGGCACTCTAGATCACAATAATTAACAATTTAATTAAAATATTTGGAAGACATAAAAAATTGATTAACTTTTGAAATTCTATATATGTCATGTAAATCGAGACTTATGGAGTAGTATATAATATTTAAAATGTAAGAAATATAATAAATCGCAATAATTAAAATTTAAAATATTTAAAAATCCTAGAAAAGTTTCAATGATAACCCAAACTAGAGTTGTATCACGTAACTGGAAATTATAGGAGTAACAAATATTAATCATGTGTAAGTAGGGGCACACGACCATGTCAAGTGATTGACATAAATGGACAGAAATTAAAGTGAGGATATATAGTAATGGGGCAGGGAGGATGTAGGTGCGATGGGTTTAAGGCTATGCGGGGCAAAGCAGGTTTAAGGTTATTCGAAGCGGGCGGAATGCAGGACGTGCTGAAGTGGTTCTTTTTAAAACTAATGTGGGGCGGGTGGTTTGCTGGTATATGTGACTTTAAGTGGGTTCAAATTTAATTTAAACTTTTACATATTATAAGTCTGATAGAGTATTTCTTTATTAAGATAATTTCTTTAAAACTACTAAGACATTTAAGATAGTAAATGAAAAATGCTTCAATGAAAATTAATACAATTTCTTACCTGCTTCTCACTTGACCTCTAAAAGAGAATAATTTTTTAAGTGAATATTCTATTAAATTCATACAAATTAATAAAAAAGTGAATTTATTTTTATGAATATTAATCATAGGTTCAAACTTAACTAGAAAAAGAAGATATTAAAAAACTTATGCAGAGTCAGTTTATGTGGGGCAGGTCCATTCGGAGCAGGATGAGGCAGGTTGAAAATGAAAAAAATTGTTATTCGAGACGGAGCAAGGCGGATGAAAATTTGGCGGATTAAGTTCAACCCTGTAACGACCCGTAAAAAGAGCAAGTGAAACTAGCGCCTAACTAATGTGTGTAAGAGTTTGATTTGAGGTTTCATATGATAGAATGTTGTCCCCATCTATGATTGAGGGGCTTAGGGGTCAAGCGTCAAGGTACCACTCCCCAAGGATCACCCTAAGGGTACTTGAGGAAGACCCTTAGCCTAACCCCCAATACCCCAAAGATAACCAAGAGGACCACGCCCCGTAGGTCCATCCACGCCCTGTGGATGGCCTCCGTAGGTCATGGCCCTTAAATCCAAGACTCAGCCACAAACCACGATTGACCAGGACGGGGTGTGACCCACAATGCGTGGTATGGTGTCTTGAGTTCCCACCTGGTTCGCTTTCTTAGTTCGATCAAGGCAAGGGTGATTTTGTAAACTCCTCCTTTGGTCAGTTTAGTTCATGGACGGTTATTTTAGGTTAATTAAAGTATTTTAAGAGTAAAAAGTGTTAGGCTCTATTTTCCAATTCATTATTTCAAAACTCAAAATACAAACCTCCCTTCCCCTCTAAAAGTTCTCTCTCTAGAATCCTCCATTAGAAATGAAGAATTCAAGCTTTCAAGGTCAAGACTTCACTTTTTTCAAGGGATTTTACTGGGATTCTTCTACTAAAGGTATGGTAGTCTTGATCCTTGTCTAATTTATTATTTAATGAGCCAATTTCAAAAGTGATTTCAAGTCTTCAAAATTGATCAAAAGCCCTAGTTTTCAATCTTGGCATGGATTCGATTCTAAACATTTTTCAAAAGTTTTATTGCATTGAATTATAAATCAATTGTGGAATCAAATATGATTTTTTTATGTGTGTGTCAATATTCTTATCTATTGTAGTATCTTAAATCTATAAGTTGATATTGATTCATTGCCTTGAAGGGAAAGTTATGAGTAAATTGAATGTTGAAGTAGAAATGGGACTCAAATGTTGATCCACTTGAAAGGTAGAGGTGTTTACTTATTATGTATATTATCGTATTTAATTGATGGATATCTTCCTTGTACCTTTATGTGCATGAAAGATCTATTTATGATAATGATGTGAAGTATATGTTTATGATCTCAATGAAAGTAAGGTGATCATGTTTAGAATGTGATAGAGTCGTGATTGAAGGTTTATTCTCCTTGAACACTCATGAATGATGATGATAGAATGTGAACAATTTTCTTCAATGCATTGTACACTTTGAATTGGTAGACTCTTGTATCCTATTCTTGTATAAATGAAAGTCATGTGTATTCATGTATCTTGAATTGTTAGGCTTAGGCATCCTCTTCTTGAATGAATTGAAGTATGGTAGAGGGATGCACCTTAACTTGGTAGGATTAGGCATCCTCTTCTTGGATTGTTATTGTATAATGTCTTAATAATTTGAATCGGTAGACCTAATGTTAGTAGCCCTTTCATAAATGACTAATGGATGTGTTTATGATTGAAGTATAATGAATTGATAGACCTAATTTTGGTGGCATTTTCATGAGAAATAAATGTAATGATCATGAATCGGTAGACCTAGTGTTGGTAGCCCTTTCATAAATGAATGTTAAAGTATTCTAGGCTTAGTCTAGTACCGGTAGATCTAGTATTGATAACCCTTCATGATGAGTCTAGAAAGTAATGAATGATAAACCTTAGATCAGTAGAATTAGTGGTGGTAACCCTTCCATGTGTGAAATGATGACCTTGTATCGGTAGACCCAATGTAGATGGCACCCTTCTTGGAAAGTCCTGAGATATCCTTAATATACCTTTAATCGGTAAATCCAATGTTGGTGACCCTTTCTTGTGTAATTTACTTAGAGTCGGTAGACCCAATATTGGTAGCTCTCTCAAGTACAAAAAATGTGAATGAACTACACTATGGGAATGTAGGCTAAGCATCGAGTAGATATGGCAAGATGGAAACTCTCCCAATGTTAGGCTAGGGTTCTGATGAACGTCTTCCTATCCCATAACTATGTTCCTATATAGGGTATATATTAGCTAGTGGCTTCTACCAAAGCTAAGATATTACTAGTCTACCTTAGGTAAGTAGACCACCTTTTTACGATTGGGGTCATATAACACCGGATTCCAAGATCTAGATTTCATGGTCTATGTCGATTTAACTATTTTTCCCATCATGTGAGATGTGTATTATGGTTTCTTGAGAAGTTTTATGACATGTAGGTGGTAGTATGGGATGCCATTCATGTATTACATGAGTCGGCTTTGAGAGGGATATAGTGAGTTCTATAAGGTCTTAATGACCTATGTATGAATGTTTCCTGAATGAATGAAAGTGCACACAATCAAACTAATGTAGAATGTTGACTTAAAGGTGTAATGAGATTATGCATGTTTTAATTGAATTGTTCTTATGTTTTAATTTCCTTGTCATGACTTATGAATATAAATGTGTCTTGTCTTTGGTGACTTCAAAGGAGCACTTAGTGTGAGTAGTAGTAAAGGATGATATTCATACATTTCACAAGTATGACTTAGAGTTGCCCTATATGATGGCCTTATGTGTTGATACTTATGAAAGGTTTATGTCTCTTATGTGTGAATATTATTTAATGATGTAAAGGAAGAACGGTAAGTTCATCTTTGGGTTACCTTAAGGTGGTAGTTTAGTTTGGATGGTGGTATGAGACGTTATTCATACATTGCACAAGGTATAGCTTGAGGGTTACTTGAGGTGAAAACTTAATGTAAAGGCAATGGTTTCTATGTTGATTATGCCTCTAATGTAAAGAAATGACTTGTATTATGACAGGGTTTTATCTTATGCCTCTTTTATTATGTTCATGAAGTTTTATAAAAAAAAATGGGCATATGCATGGTTTTCAACAAAAATGTTCCTTTTAAGCATGCTTATGCATTGCTATCATACTTACTACTTAATTGTACTAAACCAAACCTTTTCGTTTTTACCAAAGTGTAGGATTGGGAGATGTGATGTATTATACTTTGGAAAATAGGTTTCAAAGGAGCTTTGAGTTGAAGATTTGGTAAGTCCTCATAGTTTCGAGGACAAACTCATCGTGTTCCCTTATGTCTTTTATTATTATGTTTAGAGTTTTGTATGGGTTGTGTCACAAATTTTAAGTATTATGTTTCTAGATGGTTTGAGACAATGTATATAAAGACTTCCACTTGCTTTTATAAAAGGGAAACGGATAAATATACCTTCGAATTATCGTAAATGGTATGTCAATACCCTTCGTTATAGTTTAAGATTGTATATACCCTTACTGTCAATATTTTGGATTGTGTATACCCTTGAAACTAACAGCCGGACACATGGCTACATCTCAATTATTTACATAATTTTTATTATATTTTTATCCAAAATTAATAAACCCACTCATCATCCCTAACACATTTGTAACCCGAATTAAAACACCAATGACCATCTTCCATAATTCCCTTCAAACAATGATCCATCTTCTTCATTCTCTTCTTTAGTTCTCAAAATTTTGTTGCACGATTTAAAAATTAACTAACATTAGCCATGTACATTTTTTTTGTGTTTTAGAGTTCATGGATGATTGTGCACAAAACCATCAAACAAATTTTGTGAATGACCACCCCTATAGTTGCCGCCTTCTTCTCCAAAGTTCACACAAACATATAGATCATTAGAGATGAGATTTTGGTGTTTCTTTAGATGGAATGCAATACTTTTTTAGGTTGTGTGCGCCTTGAAGAGGCGCCGACATTGGCCTTGCTTCATTAAGCTTGTCGAAAAACCACCAAGACGTTCATTAGTGGTCTGTCGGAGTTCAAACCCTTAGAATAAGCTGAAATTTCTTGAGGTAGATGATAAGTGGGTGGGGAATAAACTCCAGATGTCAAAACTTTACAAACTTTCCCAGAAATTAGACGAAATCTCTTGCGACAATGCATTAGGCGATCTCGCCATAAATTCTCAAAGCTTCTTCATTGTTAATTTTCCTCATAACAAATTGAATTTTGGCGAGGGAGTAGATCTGACGATGCTCCATCCTCTTCACTAGACAGAATTTGAGTCAAAACACATGAATATGATATTGTTGCAAAGGTTTTGAATTTTATATTTAGCTTTATTAAAATATATTCGAATTATTTCAAAAAAGGGTTTTGGGTGGGTTTAAAATAGAAATGGGTGGATTTTCTAATTTTGGGTAAAACAATCATGTTAGTCCTTGAAATGAAGTCACGTGTTAGGCCGTTAGTATCAAGGACATACACAACCCAAAATATTGGCGGTAAGGTTATATACAACCGTAAAGTATAACGGATGGTATTGACATACCATTTACGATATTTTGGAGGTATATTTATTCTTTTTACCTATATAAAAATGTCTTCGAATATAAATGAAAAGTTTTTAATTTAGCTTTGTTTTCCTATTCTCCTATGACCATAAATGATATGAGGCTTGTATGAAACTTTTTGGAGTCTTGTACACCGTGTCACTTTCAGGGTGTAGGCTAGGGTGGTGACAAACATGGTATCAGAGCACAAGATTTTGTGAATGGTTTTAGGATATCTAAAACCACATCTAGTAGAGTCTTGTTCAAAGTGTGAAGTGCGCCAGGAGGCTATTGGGTGTTAGGAAAGTCTCACTTCTTCATTCTTCAAGTCGTGCCATAGAGTTTAACTCTATAATATTTTTTTCGCATTCCTTGTCGGGTGGTCTTTAAGATATGATCACTTGGAAGACTTATATTAGGAGGAGTGAGGGAGAAAATTTGGTTGTGATGCCAATTAAGGATATGTGACTTGTTAAGATTTTAGGTGATAGATTGTGATGTTGTCTCTAGTATGAATGAGTTGTTTTATGGTTATATGTTTTGTTGGTAGAAAGTTATGATGAGATTTAAGGTATATTGAAAGAGTTTATGAATAGTGTTGTTTAAGTGATGCCTAGAGATGTTGGGTGTGTGACTCTTTTGAAAGAAGGGTAGAAGTGTTATTCACCTTAGAAATTGAGAGAAGAGATGCTTAAGAGAATTTGTATAGACTTGCTCCCAAGGGGTAGATAATGTGATTATATGGTAAGGTCACTGAGTAACCTAGATGTACATGAGCTAGAGTTCTTTTACATTCTTACCATATGAGGAGTGGTGAGTTTGAGAATTTTAGACCCGATCTAATAGACTCATACGAGACGTTGAGATGGAGTTGATGATTTCTTTTAATTGTGAATGTTGTATTGAGGTTTTTATATTGTTTTCATAGTAACCTTAGTTGGGTTTACTCCTAAGTGTGGAATGGTATGAATAGTAAGGTTGTTGAGAGTATCCTTGCCTCTTTCCTTTGATTCCCATTCAAGCTTGAGACGGGGAGTTCCTTGTAGCTTGTTTTTGTCTTGGAGGCATGAGTGATTATGTGTTCCATGGCTTCCTTTTGATATGCATGTTCTTAATGAATTCTTGGTTAAATGAGAAAATGAGTCTATATAATATATATTCCTCATGTTAATGTGCATTTAGTTTGAGTTGCCTCTATGCTTCATCACATGAATTGTAAAACATACCTAAATGTGTTTTTTTAGAGTAATTACATATTTTGCTTGATGATGTTATGATGAGCATTATTTGAGTTGGAGAAGGAAGTTCCTCCAATAAATGAGAAATGATTAATTTTGATGCATAATGAGTTTGTAGATGTAGTTCATTCTTTCTTGTATTGCATTGAGCTTATTGATGTGGAGTTGATGTCTCTTCCTAGTTTTGTGCATTGTTTATGAAGTTGCATGCATGATGGGCTGCTGGGCTTGAGTCGTTAACCCTTTAATGTGTTCTAAGTGTCATTCGAGGACGAATGTTTCAAGTGGAGATAATGTAACGACCCATAAAATGAGTAAGTGGAACTAGAGCCTAACTAGTGTGTGAGAGAGAGTTTGATTTGACGTTTCATGTGATAGAATATTGTCTCGATTTACGATTGAGAGGTATAGGGTTCAAGCGTCAAGGTACCACTCCCCAAGGACTACCCTAAGGGTCCTTGAGTTAGACCCTTATCCTAACCGCCTAGACCCCAAAGATAAGAAAGAGTTGCCAAAAGCTGATGACCTACAAAAGGGGACCACGCCCAGTAGGTCCATTCATGCCCCATGGATGGCCTCCGTAGGTCATGACCCCCAAATCCAAGCCTCATCCACAAACCACGGCTGACCAGGATGGTGTATGACCCAGACCATAGTCCATGGTTTGGTGTCGTGAGCCCCCACCTAATTTGATGTCTTGGTTCAACCAAGGTAAGGGTGATTTGGTAAATTCCTCCCTTGGTTAGTTTAGTTCATGGACGGTTATTTTAGGTTAAATAAAGTATTGGAAGTGTTAGACTCTATTTTTCAATTCATTATTTCAAAACCCAAAATACAAACCTCATTTCCCCGCCAAAAGTTCTCTCTCTTTAAAACTCCATTGGAGGTGACGAATTCAAGTTTCTAAGATCAATACTTCAAGTTTTTCAAGGTATTTTCATGGGATTCTTCTACTAAAGGTGTGGTAGTCTTGATCCTTGTCTAATTTTTCATTCAAGGAACCAATTTCAAAAGTGATTTCAAATCTTCAAAGTTGATCAAAAATCTTAGTTTTCAATCTTGGCATGAGTTCAATTCTAATCGTTTTTCAAAAGCTTTATTGCATTGCAGGAATCAATTTAGATAGTGCTTTGTGGCTCTGGTGGTGACTAGATCAATGTGTTATTGTTTCAAGATAAAATCTCATCGAAGTTCGTTGAATTATGAATCAATTGTGGAATTAAAGATGAATTTATGGTGAATTTCTCCTAGAACCCATGCTTTTCCCAAATCTCTATATTGTGAATTGTGATTGGTGGTTGATTGATTATGAAGAATGTATGTTAAATTGTTTGTGTTTATATTGAATTAGTGTATTGAATCATGTCAAAAAAAAATTAACTATGGTAATATCTTAGATCTATGGGTTGAGATCGATTCATAGCCTTGAAGGGAAAGTTATGAGTAAATTCAATGTTGAAGTAGAATTGAGACTTAAATGTTGATCCACTTGAAAGGTGGAGGTGTTTACTTACTATGTATATTATGATATTGAATTGATGGATATATTCCTTGTACCTCTATATGCATGGAGGATCTATGTATGATCATGATGTGAAGTAAGGTGATCATTTTTAAAATGTGATAGGTCATGATTGAAAGTTTATTCTAACATGAACACTCATGAAAGATGATGATAGAATGTGAAGAGTTTTCTTGAATGTATTGTACACTTTGAATTAGCAGACACTTGTATAGTGAATTCACGTTAATGAATGAAAAGGTATACAAAACATAATACAGAAGTTGAATCATACTATTGTATTTTGTTAAGGTCTGCAGAACGTAAATTGTATACTCTGAAGGTATATATATATATATATATATATATAAAATCAATCATATATCATCTCGCTAATTGGTAATTTTCTACCATATTTCATGTTAGATACACGTAGATATGCGTGTTTTTGCTACCGAATACACTGCAATAGAGAGAAAGGTGAGCTAGTGAAATACGAGGGATGCAAGTGAGATATTTTATATATAAAAGATACATGTGAATCACATTAGATAGATGTATCTAGAATAATAGATATATTTCTGATATATTCTGAAAATAGATGCATTGGGAGAGAGGCGGGGGAGAGGGGTGAGAGAATTTTAGAGAGTCAAATACATGTGAATCCACTTGGATATACTGTATCTAAAATAAATTACACATATTTTGAACTCCATGTATCGAGATACATTTATTTGAAAGTGTAAGATACATGTATCCAAAGTCCAAATTCTGATAAGATTCGTAATATTGAGAACTTTAGTGAAGAAAAGTGGGATTTATGTTGATTACCCAAACAATATAGGAAAAACTACATAACTAGACATACTTTAGTACCATTTATTCTATTGTTTTATATATTCTCAAAATATTGCATATCTTATCAATAGTTAAGAGTTTCCTACATATCTTACGCATAGATAGATGAGTGAGATTCGTGCCACACATAGTTCTTCTGACTTTCAAATAGTATTCAAGATCCTCCGTTTTTCATTATCTAACAAATCACTTAACGAAGTATATTATCTTTACATTCGTTTCCTAAATTCCATAACCCCTTCCTGAACCAAATATGAATCTTTTGATTCATTTGTCTCTCACACTCAATTACTTAAGATAAATTCTCATATCTTTTTTTATGAATGTAAAGATCCTATCTTCTCTTCTTTGTTCATATTCCAAAAAGTTTTGAAATTAATATTCGTAGTATTCCAAATATATGTGAATCATACTTGATACGTATATTTGTATGTATCTGGAGTGATTCACGTATATCTGCTCATATATATGATAAGTGTAGTGAGAAAGATGGGAGAGATGTGGGAAGAGAGAGGAAGGTTTGCTATGTATCTTCGATGCATGTACTTGGATACAATGTATATAGAATAACAAATAACATTTAAATTTAACCCATGTAGCCAAAATACATGTATTTGGAATAATATACAGTACTATATATTTAAGTACTTAACTCCTGAAGTAGTGAAATTTAGGTAGGTTCCCAAAAATATACCTTGTTTAGGTATACAGTAATGTTTCAAAATGGACCTTTTTGGGTAATTATTTTGGGCCTAACCCCACCTTTCTTTTTCTGATTGGGCCGGAGAGAAAATGGATAATTTCCTCTAGTCCATGAGCTAGTTCATCCTAATTTCTACTTATATAAAATAATAATTGGTATTCTTAAAATATACCAAATATAAAATGAGCTTTACTTTTCAAAATATAGCAGTGAAAATTATCAACATCTAAAAAAAAGAAATTGAAGTAAAATAAAAAGGGCTACTTTCACATATAGTAAATAAAAAATTTATATCTGTATGCTATAGCAAAGTTTGCATAATTGCGCTTCATAGCAAACATAGAAGCTGTATAATTCGCAATACATATACAGTTGAAGCAAATTGTATAAAACGAAGTGTATAAAACAAGAAAGAGAAAGACACTTGGGCAGAGAACTGTATAAAAACGAAGTGTATAAAACGAATTGTATTATTATAAGTGTATAGAACGATTATATACAATTTGAATTTGTATAAAATGAGAAAGAGAGAAAGACAAAAGAGACTTGACAAGGAATATAAAATAGAATTGAATTGTATAAAATGAAAAAAAAAAGAAATTAGATACAATTTGAAAATTGTATAAAACGAGAAAGAGAGAAAGGCAAAAGAAACTGGGCAGGGGAGTATTTTTATTGTATAATTATAGGTGTATAGGTGTATAGGACGAAAATATATGTACTTGCATGTGTATATACAATTTTCTCACGCTTTATACAAACAGATTCGCAATTTATACATTTCGCTTCTGTTTGTATAAGTGAGAAAGGCGAGGGTGGCGAGCGAGATTTGGGAGAGTGGCGAGCGAGTTCTAGAAAGGGGAGAGAGGGAAACAAACAAACATATATATATATATATATATATATATATATATATATATATATATATATATATATATAATTTTCTCTGCTTTATACAATTAGAAACAATTTTTATACACTTGTGTTTGTATAAAAAGTAAGGAAGCGAGGCGAGAGATTGGAGGAGAGTGGCGAGCGAGATATTAAATCAAACCCTAACTACTCCATTTATTTTAAGTTATTGGTTTGCTATTATATACAATTTCTCAAATAAAAATGCATGGTAAATGATTCCTTCAAACACGAAACTAGTGTTTTTTGTTCCATATTTTTTTCTGGATTTTTGTCTTCCTCAATTCTTTCCTTTGACATTGTTTTTTTTTTAAAAAAAAGATGCAATAATTATATTCTTTCAAACAAGAGAGTAATCTTTTAGCAAAAATTGTATATAATAGTAAACTATTAATTAAAATCAAATATTATAATCATAGTTTAACTTAATTGTACTCCATAACAAACTGTTAATTAAAATCAAATATTATAATCATAGTTTTATTTAGTTGCATTCCATAACAAACTGTTGCTATTTCACCTCTCTCACGGTGAATCTCGCTCGTTACTCTTGTTCTGTTCCTCTCTCTTGCTTTTTATACAAACGTGAATGTATAAAATGTGTTTGTATTTGTATAAAGCGAGAGAAAACTACATATATGCATATATTTTCGTTCTGTTTTCTCCTTTCTCTAAGATCTCGTTCGTCATTCTCTCTCGCTTATACAAATAGAAAATAAATGTATAAATTGTGTTTTTGTTTGTATAAAGCGAGAAAAAATTGTATACACACATGCAAATACATATATATATTCATCTTATATACTTATAATTATACAATATAAATATTTTCCTGCACAGTTTTCTTTTGCCTTTCTCTCTTTTTCATTTTATACAAACACAGATTATACAATTAATCTTTTATATATGTATACCGAAACAGAAACAATTTTTATGCAACTATCTTTTTATATATGTATAGCGAAATATATACATATTTAAGTTTGCTATGGAGTGCAGTTACGCAAATTATAGCTATAACATATAAATATAATTTTTGTATTTGTTATACGTAAAAATTGCTCTAATTTTTTTCATGATACTAATTCGAGAAAATTTTCATTTGTTTTTATCTTATTATATCCTTTTTCGAATTAAAAATAAAGGATACCTTATCTTTTTTAAGAGACAGGGAACATATTTTTTGTCATGATATTCATTTCATAAATCACTTCTAGAATTGTGTTTTCTCTGTTTTTTTCTTTGAATAAAATAAAAGGAATGGGTAAGAAAAATAAAAACTTCAAACACAATATCATAATCAATATTTAGTATGATATTATTTTCATAAATTTCTCCTACATTTTTATTGTTTAACATTCTCCCCTTTTAAAAATCTGAAAAATCATATTATACATATGCTTATTCTCTTTTGTATTCCGAGTTAAAAACTTTATTTCTTTAAAGAATTTTTGCTTTTTTAAAATTTCATTAATTAATTTAATCACTCTATAAAGTGAATCAATTTGTATTTATCATATTCTATACATTAGTATACACTAAAATATGTTTGTGTAAGATATGGTAAATTTGTTTGTATAATTCGTGGGTTTGTATAATTTTGCGGATGAGTTTATATTATTTGTGTGTACGTTTATATAATTAAGCTATTTTTGAAAACTTCAAATAACGAACTTATACAAATACAAACATTTAAACTTTAATTAGTTATACAAATTATACTATCCAAATTTACATCATATCAAAGTTATACAAATTATGAATTATACAAGCGTGAAAATTATAAAAATTCAAATTCTAGTCCATGTAATTAGTATTGAATGTTTATCGCAAGTGATCATTACTAAAACTAACTATAATTACTAATTAACTAGTGTGTGTGTTTAACCATTTAACTTTTTCCATATTTTATCCACAATTCATATGCTAATATAAGATTCTATATTATGCCATTTAGATATATATTTTTATGCAGTTTGTATACCATATTATTTAAGGAAAATTTCTTATATAGCAAACAAATTAAATAAAATAATGTTTTGTAGGTATAGTTATGTAATTATATTTTATGGGTATAATTTAATTTGTATATTACATTTTTTTGTTTATTATAGTACAATATTTTGTTAATAAATGGATACATGAGCAATTAATAAGGTGACATAAAATTTACAAAATTTCATGATTCATACTAATCGTTTTAAATTAAATATTTTTTCGAAAGAAGAGTTTTATAATGATACAAACATCATAACAACTAGTTTTCTCATACCATTGAAGCAATATTAAACGAAAATTTTTGGGTTCATCAATACTCTTTATATTCAACGTCGGGTGGATTTTTTTTAAAGGAAACTTCATGTTTTGAACGGCAAAAAAGGATACGGTTAATTTGTATAGTATATAGCTAAAATTTTCAGGAATGGATTATTAATGTTTT